TATTTTAGGAACTAAATATATTTTGTTAACTTGTTTGATTATTGTTTGTTAAATTATATGGAATTTGAATTTGAATATTTAAGTTACTCGAAATTATCCAAAACCGTTATAGAAACTACTTAGATTTAGTATTAATATGAATTTCAATTTTGGTAACTTAATATGTGTGAGAATAATTTTCGCCAATATATAAATACATTTTTTAATAACATTTTCGAAAACATGTTGAATAATAGATTACTATATAATATTTTTAATAACATTTCGAATTATATGAATTGTGTTGTTTTTTCGAAATGTTTTTCAAATTATATGAATTATATAAACAAAATCTTTTGATATCTTTAAACCCGTTTGACCGGTTGACCCGTTAATATATATTAGTGAAATAGAATAAAATGATTATAATTAGAAATCTCTAATGGCATATATTGTAATTTCTTATAAAATCTAAGTTATGACTCTTAGGATGTACTTCCCAAATATTAGTATAGTATTTTTCTCTGTTATTTTCTTTTTCATACTTAGAAAATCTGAAGATGAAGGAACAACATCACCTAGACAATGGAAAGGAAAAAGCATGGATTAAAATCAAAATATGTTTCATAAAACACATCAACATGAAGAAATCATAGCTCAGTCATGATCTAAGTTCATATCAATTGCTTTTTTCTCTTTTGTAAAATCGTTGATACTCTGTATTATCATCACCAGAAAAAAATCACTTAAATAAACTGATGTAAAAAAAGTTAACATCATTTTTTTAACCGAAACAAATACTAACATCGTTTAAATAAATTGATGTAAAAGTTAACATCGTTTTTTTGCAATTGATACATATTGACAACGTTACAATAATCAATGTCAATATTTTGGATATTAACATCGGTTACTAATAAACCGACACAAATTATTTGCATCACTACTTTCAGAGTCACTTATTTAAGTGATGTAAAAGTTATTTACATCATTTATAACTAATACAAATATATAAACTAAATGATGTAAAACAACCTTTTTGTAGTGTATATACATTAATGTTCCTAAATTCTCATGTATTTACGGCAATGCCATTTACATTATATTAATTAAATAATTAAAAAGAAAATTAATTTGTCTTTCTTGCATCTTTTTGGTGGAAACACAAATCCAGAAAATTAACTTGCTTCTCTTTTTCTCATCACTCTCTGTATTTCGTCATTTATGTTTCTCAAAACCCAAAATCCAGACAACCCTAATAGGATTGGCCGATTGGGTGACTAATTTTCATAATTGGTCCCAGTGGCGGAACCAGAAATAAATTTGATAGGGGTCAATAGAAAAAAAATTAATAGAAGGGGTGCAAAAACATGATTTGAAGATAAGTTAATGGGGTCAACATTAACATTTTAAACAAAATTATCAACAAATAATTAAGGCTAATAAACAAAATTTCTTAAAAGTTATGGGGGTCAAGTGACCCCCTACTAACACCCTACCTCCGACACTGATTGGTCCAGACAAATCCATTCATTCGATGTTTTGCTTCAAGATGAGTTTAATTACTTATTTTAACTAATTAATTTGTGGGTTCTAGAATTTTATTAGCATAACTTTTTTTATTTACTGGGATCTAATTCTCTAAATCTACTCTATTGACGAAGAATGGCACGGATACCGTCCAAGATACTAGCCCACGGGCCTAGCTTAATAAGGTGTATAGCGAAGCGGGCTTGCAAACATAAAATGAAGCCCCAAAAAGCGGGCCTTGCGGGTATGGCCCGTTCATGTGGCGGGTCAAGCGGATTTTGCCCATGGCGGGTTGCGGGTTTGCGGGTGACCCGCAAAATTGAAATACAAAACACGTTTTTCTTTTTTCTTTCTAATTTCTTCTACGATGATCGAAATCTTGATTAATTTGGCTAAAAATTCAATTATTTCTTCTCCTATCAGTTTCGTTTCGAATCATCTCTTACTTAAATTCATCTCCTGCTTCAGTCCATCTCTATATCTCGATTAATTGAACTAATTTTTGTGGTAAATCTGCAGTTATGAACAATAAATCTTTTTCCAAACTCGTCGATTCTAAAACCATTACACTTTCTTTTCAATCCTTCAAGGTATAATAATTCAATTTATGTAAATCTGGGTTTGCAATTAAATCATAAATGATCTAACTTAGGGTTTAAAAATTAGATCTTTGCTTTAATTTACCTCAATTTTACAAATTGAATCTGGAGTCGTTTGATTTTGCGAGAACATAATCCAATCGATTGTGGATGATGAAGATGGTTATTGAATTTGAGATTAAGGTTTTTATTTGTGTTTTAGTTCAAGTTTCAGATTTCAATTTGGGGAGAGTAGTTGCAGGTTTTTAATGAGTTGCGGATTTATTTTAGGGTGGTTTGAATAGAGAAATCTAACTAATTTGCCATTTAATGTTCAAAAACTTAGCAAAAATGCCACAAAACATAAATCTTTCCAAATATGCCATAATGGTGGACAATATTTCTTGTCTACTCAAATTTTTGTATGTCGTTTTGAATTCTTGTCTACCAAAAGTCTGTTGTTTTAAAAGTGGACAAGATTTTTTGTCTACCAAATATCTTCTCAATATGTTGTTTCAAAGGTGGAAAACATTTTTTGTCTACTAAAAATTTTCGGTTCAAAGTCTTGTCTACAATTATGGCACATTTGAAAAGACAAATGTTTTGTTGCAATTTCTGTAAGTTTTGCTACAGTATATGGCATATTAGACCAAAATCCATTTTGAATACTACCTTGTTTTCAGTTATACTTTGAAATATAACATTTTTCTATTTTTTTAAATTAAAAACTACAATTATATATAAAATGAAAATTTTGTTCAAATTGAAATTTAAAGCTATATTTTTATAAATAAAACAAATTGAAATTTAGAGAAAAAAAATATACTAAATTCGAAATAATATGAATCATGATTATATATAAATATTTTTTAACACAAAAATAGTTTATTTATTTTATATATTAAATTTTAACAAGATTATATTTAAAATATTATAAAATATTATAAAATCTATCGCTTAATATTTATCATATTATATAAAGAAAAAAATCTCCAACGTAGCAAACATATTTTTTAACTCAACATATTATCAAAGTTGCTTCAATTAAACGATTCTCTTTGATTTTTTCTTTTTGCAAAGTAAACTATTTTATGTGTTTTCAATAATAATGAATCATTAAAATCTGCACCATATGACTTAACAAAAAATCATGACTTAACATTGGTAGAATGCTATTATTCATTATTGTTCTGAAAAAATATTTAGGATAATGAATCTTTGGAACTATTAGTTATATAACATTCAAAGTAACAAAACAACATCCATGGTGAAAGACGAACATGATTTGGTCAACGGACAACTTTGTTTAGATATTTAATTATTACCAATTAATTGATTGCATATTAAAAATATAGATCCTTTTGCTTAATTATTATTAAGTTTCAATAAGATTTTTTTAGTAGTTTTATATATATATATATTTTAAAACTGTTTTTAAAAGAAAAACAAATAGAGAGTATTTTTCAAAAGTGTAAACAAAAAGAGGGTATTTTTCCAAATTTACTCTTATATTGACTTGAGTTCATTTCCAGTCTCGGATTTGAGTTTAATTCGGGAAAAAAAAACAAAAAAAAACCGCCTTCTATTTTTTTTTGGTCATTTAATACGTGTAGTTTTAAAATTGGAATAAAAATACTTCGTTTAATTGTTGTTGTCTTTTAAATTCTTTGTATTTTTAATTTAGTAGATTCGTACCTCTCCGTTAACGGCTGTTAACGATGGTGACAGAATTGCTAACTGTGTTAAAATTTAACCCATAAAGTTTACGTATATATATACAATTTCTTTTTACAAATATACGAATATATCGCCTTTGTCTATTGGTTAAACGTTGGTTGAAAAATCCTCTTTTTTACAAATATACGAATAGAGTTCGAGGCCTACCTCCGCTTTTTTTGAGCGTTTTTTTTTTTTTTTACTCGTCTTATTCATTTTTCAAAACTCTATGTTCTCACTGTAAACTCTAGATCTTCTTATTTCTCAATTTCTTGTAAATGTGACTGAGAAAATAAATGAATATCATATTGAGACTGCCTTCTCTCAGTACAGCAACGTTGTTGATTCCAAGATCTGTTACACACCCAGATCGGATTTCAAGTGATTTTGATGATCTCATTCTCGACAGATCTGTTCGATCTTATGTTTCTCTGTTACTTGATTCCATTAATCTATTATAGAAGACGAAGTCCAATTTAGGATTATTGAAATTGAGAAGTAAAAAGATCTAAGGTTTACAGTGTGAAGAGCAAACAGAGAGATTTATGAAGAATGAAGAAGAATAGTAAAAAAAAAAAAACACGCAAGAATTTCTCTTGTTTGGTTTCATATATAAACGTAAATATCATGAGTTAAGTTTTAACTACAGTCAGCAATTCCGTAACCATCGTTAACGGTACAAATCTACCAAAATTTAGTATGAAGAGTAAATTATACAAAAAATAGATTGGGTTCTAAAATATTAGAAAAAAAAATTGTGACGATGTTCATGTTCCTCTTCAATATTAGAAAAAAAAAATTGTAACAAAACATAGATTGGGTTTTAGTAAATTGTCTAATGGGCTTTTAGTTTTTTTTTTTTTTTTTTCATCAGGCTTTTAGGTTATGAAACGGTTTAAGCATGGGGCACATTGAATAGTGTAAGGAGGAACAGATGCAATAGAATAGAGCGCGTAACGGCTGATTAAATCTCGGATTAAAAAAAAGAGAATTTACCACAACAACAAGACCAGACGTCAAAGTGTCAGAAAAACCACTCTGTCAGTGTCACTTACTTCCCAATAAAAATCCAAAAGTTTATCATTTGTCCTTTGACCATAAAAAAAAAAAAATCATTTGTCCAAATCCCAAAGTCTCTTTCTCTTTTTTTTTTCAACTTAAAACAAAAACAAAAAGTTTAATATCTGAAATTCGAAACGAGACCACAAAAATCCCGCTCACGCTCCTCCTATTTCAACACACTCTCTCTTCGCCATTGTAGATCATTCTTAATCTCTAAAGGTATCACATCATTTTACACGTCTCTCATTTCGATCGATGATTTGTTTTATTTTTTTCGTTCATAATTTGAGGTTTTTGGTTTGTAGATCTGTTTTTTTCTCTCTGTTTTTATTTTTCTAAGTGTTTGTAGTTTTTTTTTTTTTTGGTATGTTTATGTTTTACTGAATTCAGACAATGATTTGATCTCTTGTGTGTGTGTTTTTTGTTTCTTGTTATTGTCACGGAAACATTTAAGAAAAATGATCAAAAATTTGATGTTACATATGGTCGGGGAGGTTAATTTTTGTATAGAATTTTTTTTGGGTCATAGATGAAATTTGATGTTAGAAACTTGATTTACTTGTTTGAAGTTCTTCCACTCAATTTCTCTCAAGCTAATGACGTTGAGATCTGATCTCACTAAGTGAGCATGCCAGTTTTATTGAAATTGAATTTTGCTATTCATTTATTCCATTCTTTAATACTGATTGATTTTGTTTAATGTAATAATATTTTGAAGACTAGATTCTGTTGACTCTGCAGGTTTTGACTTGGGGAGTTCCAGTTTAAAATTATGTATAGAGTTTCTTCAAAGCACCCTAATGCCACGAAGGAAGCAATCTCTACTACGAAAATTCGAGATAATAATGTGAGAATCACTAGATCAAAAGCTAAAGCCTTAGGAGTGTCAATGTCTCCCTCAAAACCCGCTTTTAAACAGGAACCAAAGCGTGTTGCTAGACCGAGTAACAAACGAATGGCATCGGATGTTACTGCCTATAAGCATAAGAGACGGGCGGTGCTCAAGGATGTGACTAACACTTTGGCAGAACGTGCAGAAGGCGATATTAAGGTAACGGTTTCTTATGCTTGGTGTTTGTTTTCCTTTAGAGTTTCTACTTACTGATACAACGTGACAGGCTTGTAAGCATGGTCAAAAAGAGACTAAGCAAATATCAGAAGATGGTTTGGTAGATGTGGATGCCGAAAAATCGAAATTAGCAGAAGATTTATCAAAGATTAGAATGGTTGAATCTTTAGATGCCTCTGCTCCAAAGCAAAGTAAGAAACTTCACTACTAAAGAATGCAATGATAGAATTCAAAAATGCTGGAAAAAAATAGTATCATATTTCAAACCTCTCAGAGAATCTTATTTTCAAAAATAGTATCATATTTCAAAAAAATAGTATCATATTTTAAATGAAGCATATACCAAAATGTTTGTTACTAAAATTTACTGGATTGTGCAGAAGAAGATGGATCGGATGTCGCGGATTATCTTCAGATTGTAGATATAGATTCCAATGTCCAAGATCCCCAGTTTTGTAGCTTGTATGCTGCAAGTATATATGATAGGAGTCATGTTGCAGAGGTTTGCATTACATAATCCAAATACTTGGTCTTATTCTATCTTCTCAAAAGATGATTACGTTTTGATATTTTGAGTTATTTATATTACCACTACTTTTTGTACAGCTTGAACAAAGACCTTCAACTAGTTATATGGTGCAAGTGCAGCGAGATATCGATCCAAACATGCGCGGAATTCTGATTGATTGGCTTGTGGAGGTAGGAATACAATATTTGCAATGCATAGTTTTACTTGAAGTTGTGGAGCAAATTTAAAATTGAATTGTTAAACTAAGAAACTCTATTGATGTTATTTCTTTCAGGTTTCTGAAGAGTACAAGCTGACTTCAGATTCACTTTACCTTACCGTGAATCTAATTGATCGATTCATGTCTCATAATTACATTGAAAAGCAGAGGCTTCAGCTACTAGGTGTCACTTGTATGCTAATAGCCTCGTAAGTTCCCATTTATATTCTTTCCTCAATTTCAAGTTATAGAAGGAAATTTCATTTAGCAGCATTCACAATGCAATGAGTGTAAAACTGAAGTATAAGTGGATGCAGAGGAACACATGTTTGAAGCTCTGAAATGCATTCTAGGAATAAAATTCCAAGTTTCACTCTGGAATTTATAGTTAATTGTAGATTATTACTTCTCCATTAACTAATACATTGTTCCTTGTAACTTGTTGTTGAAGAAAATACGAAGAGATTTGTGCACCGCGGTTGGAGGAGTTTTGCTTCATTACAGACAATACATACACAAGACTAGAAGTAATTAACTAACATGCAGACTCCATCTATATTAGTGTCATCTAAGATGATTCACTTTTGTTAAAAATATTTTTGTAAACACCATTATTTTCAGGTACTAAGTATGGAGATTCAAGTTTTAAACTTTCTACATTTTCGGTTATCAGTTCCCACCACCAAAACGTTTCTCAGGTAAAACACTAAACACATCAAAATGCACCATTACTCAAACATTGTCTGTCTCTTTAACGTTTTCAAAACATTATAAATTCAATTTCTTCTTCTGTGTTTAAGGCGGTTCATTCACGCAGCTCAAGCGTCTGATAAGGTTGGTTACATTGATTCATGTCACAAATCATTCTCAGAATTTTAAATAACTTGGAATCAGTAAACTGATTTTTTTTTTTTTTTGTTCACAGGTTCCCCTTATTGAGATGGAGTTCTTAGCAAACTATTTCGCGGAACTAACTCTCACAGAATATACTTTCCTAAGGTTCCTACCATCCCTAATTGCCGCTTCAGCGGTTTTCTTAGCAAGATGGACACTCGACCAATCTAACCATCCTTGGGTAAGTGAGCTCACATTTCTTCATTGTGAATTTTTTTACCTCATTGAAACAATTTTGATGATGTGAATGTTATTGCTTACAGAACCCAACTCTACAGCACTATACCAGATATAAAACATCCGCTCTAAAAAACACGGTACTTGCAATGGAGGATTTGCAACTCAACACCAGTGGAAGCACCCTTATCGCTATACGAACCAAATACAACCAACAAAAGGTACAATGAAATCTAAGAAAGTGGACACTGAATTTGGTCTCTAATTCTGTATAAATTTTGACAGTTTAAAAGAGTGGCAACACTAACATCTCCTGAACGTGTCACAACACTCTTCTCAAGATGAAACCGCGGATTTTGGATTCTCCTGATATGACCAAGTCAGCACAACTCTCTGGCTTCAGCATTTTGTATCAGGTGGATCAGTCCTAGTTTCAGACACCAGTTTTGGTCTCTACAGTTATGGAATAGTTTGACACATTGAGATTGTCCTTTTACAGTAAAAATGTTATAGAATTTTGTAGACTCATTAATAAAGCAAGTGTTCATGAGCCATTGTAAAAATCAGTACAAAGTCATGTCTGTTCTGATCTTACACTTCTACTAGATCATAACCCATGCTGGAACAGCACGGATGAAATTTTAATTTTTAAATATTTATATAAAGTTGGATTATTGTTTGTTTTATAGTACAATTTTAATAATTCTTTACATAGTACAATGACATATAAGGAATTTTTATTTTATTTTGTTTGATGAGAAAATATTAGAGGTGGGGTACGGTTTTTCGGTTTAGTATCGTTTTTTCGTTTTGTAGAAAGTGAAACCATATAGAAACCGTATGTAATTCGGTTTAGTTACAGTTCGATTACGGTTTTTTACGTTTTTTGGTTAAAAATAAAACGTATGTATTTGATATATGCTAGTAGTAAGTGAAAAACAATTGCGTATATAATAAACATATTTTGGTATATAATAAGATTAAATTCAACCCGTGCATACCTATATTTTTATTTTAGAATCCCAATAAAAAAATTGTGTGCACAATCCATCATTCATTATTTCATATATACTTATAGAATCAAAATTTTAAATATTTAGAGGTGTCAAACCTTATTTAACTCATCTCATCATATAATCTTAACATGGTTTCGGTTATAAAGATCATAACTCTTTTTATCATATAATACATTACATTTAACCTGGTACTTGCTATAAATATTTTAAATATTTATGCTTTGAAAAATGAAATTAGAGTATTTATAACTTTTATCTTTTGATTTATTAAATATTTATGATATTCTTTAAAATATTATATTAAACTATTTTTAAATTTTTCCAAAGTAAAATGTTTTTTTCTTTTTTATTGTAGAATATAAAATTAAGAATTTTTTAAAAATAATTGTATGAACTTAAATATAAATATTCAAATAGTTATAAGGATCATAACTCATTTCATCATATAATACATTATATTTAATCCACCGTCTATTATAAATATTTTTTAAATATATATGTTTTAAGAAAACCAAATTAGTGTATGTATAATTTTTAATTTTTTTTATTTATTAAGTATTGATGATATTTGTTTTTAAATATCAAGTAAAACTATTTTTTCATATTCCAAATTAAAATATTTAAAATTTTATCGTAGTATATAAAATTATATATTTTTAAAAAATATATGAAATTGAATATAATTACTCAAATTCTGACCCGTTATTCAGGCGGAATTTTTGTTGAATTTATTTTTGTTTAAAAGAAATATATTATCCAAGTCTAAATTTTTGACTCGTTAAATTTTTTTTCATAAATTGAATAATTTATATTCGTTTTTAAAAATTCAAATTATGACATATGCAGAAAAAATCTATTTTTTATTATTATATGGATGATATGATTATTTATTTGTTTTACAATAACATAATCATATAAAGATGAGATGTGAAATATAATGATTAATAACAAATCTCTACACTATTAAAAGAGAAGTACAAATGAAAATAGGTCGGGTTAAAATCAGAAAATTGACCCGAAATTGTGAAATCGGATCTTTAAAATTTTTTTGGAATATAAATTCGAATTAATAATGAAAAATTGAAATAAAATCAAATATTTATGGAAATAAAATCAAATATTTATGGAAATAAAATAAAATCTGATTGTACTTATGGTAACTAATAATAAAAGCATATTCCGAACAATATTATACATTAATTACGTATAATAAATTTGTTCATATATTTTTGGGACTAATTCCATAACAATCAATGTTTTTGTCATTAATTTCGCTCATTTTAGCCAATTATCATTAATTAAAAGATATTTTATTTGCTTCTAAAGATTTCTAGAAAATTTATCACAAATAACCCATCTGTTTTATAAATTAAATTGATATTTTTATTTTGGTCGTGTAAATTAAATAGATATTTTTATTTTGGTCGTGTAAATTAAATAGATATGAAATCCATGTAACTAATTTTAATTTAATTAGATTAAATCGAAATTATGATATTTTCATACCTATAGCTTACCAAAGAAGTTTAATTTTCAATTTATAAAGATTTTTTGAATATGATTTTAGAATTATTCAACAAGATGATAAGTATTTATTAAATTTTGTGAATCAGGAAAAATAATAATTAATTTTTAATCATTATACTTCATATTTCAATCTCTCATCTAACAAATAAGATACATATTCTATTATTACTATGTCCAAACTTCATTTTGTTGTATGACTAAATAATATTCCCATTAGAACTGTCAAAGCGAGTTGATTCGTCCCGTTGAGTCCGTTTTGCGATAGACAAAAAATATTTTCACTTGTGTTAGTCGGTCCGCATGACCCGCGGGTAGCATATATGAAATACAAACCCATCCCACGAATGTATGCGGATTTGCGGGATTGTCCATGGATTTTGTTTAAATAAATTTAAAGTAACCAAAATTTAAAATACTACTAAAATAAATAAATAAATAAAAATACTATTAAAAGTTTGTTTAAATTACCACATGTTGAATAAATTATAATTTTATCAATAAATACTAATATGGGGGCTGATCCGCCAACCCGCGGATGAAAACCGATTAAACTTATGACCCACTGCGAATTAATCCATGTAGCCCGCTTATTTGCGGGTTTAATATATTTTCCCAAATCTTCCCCATAGTGAGATGATGTGGGCTCGACCCGCGGTTTTTGACCTATTTTGACTGCTCTAATTCCCATGAATCGTCTAATTTTAGAATTTTAAAACACAAAATTCTATTTTGTAAATCATAATTAATACGATGGGTATATTTATAAATAATTTTATATTTTCTCTACAATTCGTTATTATGAATATTTATAAGTATACTACACGATTCGTTCTACTAAAAAACACACACAATATTAAACGCAACGTATGTAAACCAATATTCTCCTGCGGTGGACCGCGGGTCCGATCCTAGTTAATATGGTAAGTTAGATATCAAATCTTATATATTCATTTTGATTGGTCATTTAAAAATAATAATAATAATTTATTTTTTGTTTTTATAATTAAATTGTATAAATTGACTTGTTTATCCTTAATAAGATGAATTAATTTACTCCTGAAATTTTATCTCTAATGGCATTTTTAAGTAATTTTTTACAAAAAGAAAGGTTAGTTAAAGGTATCTTATAAAGTGTACTCTCTAAATAATAGTATAGGATATTCAAAATATAAAATGTTTTTATTTATTTAGTTTTGGTTACCAAGTGATGTTCCAATGGTAATTACATACCATTGGGCTTCTTGCTAACGAGAGGCCCAAAAAAATCTTCACAATAAACAAATATTAAAACCCTTTTGTTTCTTGTTCAAGAAACTCGACCTAATAAGCAATAACAGATTCTCAAATCACAATCTGCATCCCAAAACCTCGATCACCAGTTCACAACAATTACACAAACTTCGATTCCCGAAACTGTAGCTAACTCAACAAGCAATAAGACGCGGTTGATACTTTGGTTGAAGTTTGGAAGCATGGTGACTCTCTGGTCGGAGATCCCTATGGACATCTTGAGATCTGTGTTCGAACGTTTGAGTTTTGTGGATTTCCACCGCGCTAAGATCGTGTGTTCGAATTGGTATTCGTGTTCGAAACAAACTTTGCCTCGAAAAAACACATCTCCATGGCTGATTCTCTTTCCAGAGGAGGATGGTAATTGTGCTTTGTATAACCCGGAGGAAGCTAGGGTTTACAAAACCAAGAGAGACTTATCAAGATTTCGATTCTTGGCAAACTCAGGTAAATGGTTCTTAGTTCTAGATTCTAAATTCAATCTTTATATCATAGATTTGTTTAGCGAGAAAAATATCGATCTTCCACCTCTAGAGTCATTCAAAGGTAACAAGTATAATCTTAAGAGAGTCGGAGATAAAAAGATCAAAGAGGTAAGATTAGAAATCGGATATACCTCTTTTGTCATCCTAAAAGCGAAATATCTGAGAGGTCTTTTGTGGGTAGACGAGAAGAAGGAAGAGTACGTTGTTGTTTGGTACTTCAGTGACAAGTATAAGATTGATTATTCAGCCTTTTGCAAGAATGGGGAAGATCATTACCATGAGATTCCAACATACTTTGGCATATCTGATATGGTACTTACATCTTATGGTGACAGTCTTTACATCTTAAACACTAGTGATTACATTGAAAAACTTGATTTGTCTGGACAAGAAGGTTTCAAGGATGTGTCCAAGAATGAGGCTATATTTTTACGATTTCGTTTGCCAGGTCTTCCAAGGGATTTTAAATTCACATATGATGCAAAGGGTAGCAATAGCATTGCTGTTACATCATCAGGAGAAGTTTTGTTAGTCATGAACATCTTTTCCGAGTCAACAAGGCGTAGGATCTTCTTTCTCTACAAGGATCCGGGTGGGAGCATTTACAACAAGCTTGTTGAGGTAGATTCTTTAGGTAATGAGGCCCTGCTTCTGGATTTGGGTATAACCGTTCCTGCTGATGGTGACCTTGGTATCGAACCAAACTCTATCTATTTCACTCGTCATGATCGTGTCCGTTACCAGAAACGTTCATGCCCGGACATCTGTGTGTTCAATCTTGAAACAAAGACCCTCAGACGTTTCCCCGGTCTCTCCAACTTAAAGCTCACGGATGCTCGATGGTTTCTCCCGTCTTGATTTGTTTCTTTTTACTGCAATTTGGTGTTCTTGAGAAATGAACCACACTTTTGGTGCTTTAAAAATATTCTCAGGACCAGAAGGCTTTGTAGTTAGCAGTCTTGACATAAATTAAACATCATAAGTTAAGGCATCTCTTCATAGACACTGAACATGTTTACTTGAAAATAATACAAATTGGGATTTTCTCTTGTGCCAACCTTTTCCTGTGTTTAGTGACCATATCAAAAGTCAAAACTAATACTTTTGGAATAATGTGAAAAGCCTATCGGATACGGCCATGTAGGGTACTGTAAACCCCATCATATATATGAAAAACCCATTTAAACAAACATCTATCAAGACAACATTTGTTGAAAACTTGGCTTTCCATTAACACGTATACATGTCTTTCATAATATCACATTAAAGATGAATATTAGGTATTTTTTATCGTAAATAAACGGGAGTGATTTATAATAAATAAATACTCTAAAATAGTACTAATACAACAAGTTTTATAGAAAATTAAAATACATACTCCACAAATTTCCAAAATTAGCATTAGTAAGTTTACACAATAACTATTTTACCCTTTTCTAATTATCTAAAATAATAACATGAATTACAATTTAAAATCATGATTAATTTACAATCATATGAAACTTCAAACGTCAATCAAATTTTTATACTAGTCATTTTGATATTAATTTTGTTGTATTTTTGGAACTTTAGATATTGTGTACTAAATTTGGTAACAAAACTTGTTTTAGTGCTGTTTGTGAGAATTGGCCATTTCTAAACCAATATTTTTATTATTATTCATATAATTAAACATTTATTGAATTATCTTAGCTATAACCAATATAATGAAATTTAGAATTGTTATAGAAATTTTAAATAACTCAAAACTGATCTTTGTTAAACATCTAAATATTGAAAACAACAAAAGGATTACCACCGCACCTTTCCTGCATCCCCTTGTACCATTTGCCTTCATAGACTCATATATTCATGTGGCTGTCACATCCTTATATATATATTTCAACTTATTCATTTAATTTTGTACGTTTAGAATATGTTGGTGAATTCATTTATTCAAGCTTAAGGTTTAAATCGTTCTTGTCTCCTTTACGTTCATAACATTTAATGGACAACCACTACTCTAAATATCCGTGGACTTTACCACGCTACGCACCGACAATTCTCTAGCCTTTTCATTAATTGATCAGTAAAACTTCTACAAAAGTGTTTAGTTATTCTCAGAAATTTTTACCGATAGTAACATAACCGTAGATGATCGAAAAAGATTTAGGTGAGCATTTGGCTGTGTGTATATATAACTGAGATCTGTTTGTGTCGAATTAGTAGATCTATAAGAAATCGAACAATAAAAATTATAATGATGAACGAAACTTGTTTTGACGTAGTTTTCACGTCATTATTTAGGTTATCTGGTAGTAAAATTTAATACAACATTTAATTTGAATTGCTATGTAACTCGGAATAAATTCGAGGGCAAGATGTGATCAGTCTTCTATAATCTTTACAAAAAAATCAGTATGAGTTAATATAGGATTATAAATAGAAAGACATCTATGAATAATTGAATACACATGGGACATCATTATTATAATTAACTATACGATTTATGCATTTGGTTACCAAAATCCACTAGGCTTCGTAATTGGTTGTATCAGTGTCCATTCGATAGTTTGCATTACCGTTAAACACTTAAACAATAAAACGTGATCTATTTATAAAACGTAAACATTTCTTCTTATCAAATATTCACATAAGTAATGAAGAAAAGAGACAAATTGATAGATTTTTACGTTCCGTAGGCAATAAGAAAGATGATCACTTGGTACCATTTTATGGTATGGACTATGGACCGACACCAAGTATTTGTACGTTGTAGATTAATTATGTGTTTAGCAAAACAAGTATTTGTGCTTGGACTATCTTGTCATGTAGTTTTTTAACGTTATATATAACCAATAACCCCACATGACACGGGAAAGAGAGAGGACAGACAATAAATACCATAAAAATAGTAGAGAGGACGTGGGAAAAGCAGAGGGTTAATAAGTGAGTAGTTGGAGGTAGAAAGATCAGAGACGAGGAATCTCTCTCCCTCTCTGTCTCTTTCTCTCCTATTCTTAGTTCGTGTCAGAAACACACTGAGAGATTAAGAACCCTAATTTAAAACAACAGAATGGTACATTCGAAGAAGTTCCGAGGTGTCCGCCAACGTCAGTGGGGTTCTTGGGTCTCTGAGATTCGTCATCCTCTCTTGTCAGTTCTCTCTCCCTCTATCTATAAACAGAGACAACATTATAAATATGTTTATGCAAGAACTAAATAGTAATATACAAGTCTATACTATGTGTAGAGTTTACATTTTTGGTGTACGTGTAGGGCAAATTTTCTGATCTTTTACGAATGACTATTATTGATTATATTTCCGAAGATTCATGCAATAACTCTTGTAATAACATGCATATTTGTTTAAGTCGTTTTCCTTATTTTTGTCCAATTAAAAAGACACGTTTATTAACGTATACATATGTTAAGTATTTGTAGTTTTGGACCTTTGGTGTGTTGTATTTGAAATTTTGAGTGTACATAAATAAATGCTTTGTCATATCATTGATACTGATGTATTTTCTATGTCTTAAACATGTATTTAGGGGCAATTGTGAATCATATATCTTGGTATTTGTGATTCGTACTTTTTCATCCAAATCAACATATTTTAAAATCCATATATGCTCTGCCTCTTCAACTAGCCCGCTATCAATTTGACCTGATATATACTCCTTCCGTTTCGTTTTAGTTATCGTTTAATGTTTTTTTCACACAAATTAAAAAAAGCATTAAATTTTCTGTTTTACCCTTTATTAATATATTTTATAAAAAATTTCATTGGCCAAAACAATAAAACAGTAGGGATAAAACTGGAATTTTCACTAAACATTTGCATTGAAAACCTAAAACGACAACTATTATGAAACAAAATTTAAATCCTAAAATGACAACTAAACTAAAACGGAGGGAGTATATTCTTTGGTTAAATCTGTTTCATCTATATATAGTAATAAAATACATTAGTCATTAGCTATATCATTTTATTAAAAACTGAAAAACCTTAATTACTAGTAGCAAAGAATTGGGATGGAAAGAACACTACTCACTAGTATAAACTTTCCTCAAAAAGAAAACGATTTTTTTATCAGTAACATGATATAACAATTTTGTTGTGTTTGTTTCAATACTTGTAAGTTTGAATATAATTTGTGTTTTTTGTTTACGTAACTAATGTGAGTTTATGTGAGCTATCAGGAAGAGAAGAGTGTGGCTAGGAACATTCGACACGGCGGAAACAGCGGCTAGAGCCTATGACCAAGCCGCGATTCTAATGAACGGCCAGAACGCGAAGACTAACTTCCCCATCATCAAATCCAACGGTTCAGATTCCTTGGGGGTTAACTCTACGTTAAGGTCTCCCAAATCATTATCTGAACTATTGAACGCTAAGCTAAGGAAGAACTGTAAAGACCAGACACCGTATCTGACGTGTCTCCGCCTCGACAACGACAGCTCACACATCGGCGTCTGGCAGAACCGCGCCGGGTCGAAAACCAGTCCAAATTGGGTCAAGCTTGTTGAACTAGATGACAGTGTTAACGCACGTCCCGGTGGTGATATTGGGACTAATAAGATGAAGAAACGAAACGATGACGTTCAGGAAGATGATCAAATGGCAATGCAGATGATCGAGGAGTTACTTAACTGGACCGGTCCTGCTTCTGGATCCATTGCACAGGTCTAAAGGAGAATCATTGAATGATAATATATAATATAGTTGAGGGTTAATAATAATCGAGGGTATAAGTAATAATTACGTAGCTTTTTAATTAATAATTTTCGAACATATATATGATAGCTCTATAGATAGAAATAAGTACGTATATATACGTAAACATTTTTCTTTCCAATATACTATATGTTGTGGTTTTAAACTGATGGCTATTTTTTTATTTAATTATTTATGGAGTGGTTGATATTTTCTGTTAGAATTTGTCGACATGATATAATTGCTGGAGACTAGTCATGATGATAAGAACTTAAGAAGACAAGTGGTAGGATGATAATTAACTAGTTTAACAAGTAATGCAAGGTCTTTTTGGTGACAGACATGGTTACTAAGATCAGAGAGGATGCTGATAATTGGTTTCTGGCACAGCAAGTTGACAAAGAGGAGGAATCAAAAGTGCTAAAGTCGACTGCTGGTACAAAGAAGTTTTGGAGACCACCTGATAGGCCATGGTTAAAATGCAACTTTGCTTATTAAGGAACTGGGAAGGTACAGTCCTACTTCATAGTAGACGAGCTTTCAGTTCTGTTTTGTCTAAGTTGGATGCGGAATTTGAGTGTTGGCTCTGGGTTTTGGAGAGTTTGAAGAGCCTCAAGATTAGAAGAGTTATCTTTGCTGCAGAGGCAACTCACTTGATGGAGGCGGTGCTCAGACCTGAAGCGTGGCCTTCTTTCAAGTATCACTCCGAGTTGGTTTTAAAAGGTTTAATGCTTATTCCTTCGTGGAAGCTACACAAATTAAAGAGGATAGAAAGGCAAATAATGGTGCTTTCCTTATTGCTCGTAGCGTGACAAGAGAGGATCGAAGCCAAGCATATGTAGCCTCGGGCTACCTTTTTTGGTTACATGAAGTGTTCGCAAATGAGATGTGCATTACTTGATTGTAATGGCTTTTTGTCGTCTCGGTTTGTGATTGTCTTTGATCCTTTCTTTTTTGTGTTCGTTTGACTGGTTGTAATTAAACGTCTTGTTCATCAATCCATGGTATCATTCAGACGAAAAAAAAAAAAAAATGAACATTAAATGTGAAAGAGATTTTTCACTTTTGTTAAACACATCTGCGAATCAGATTCTTGTGATTCGAGTGTTAGTCCTACCTAGACTAAGAAAGGTTTTACTATTTTAACATGGTTACCTGGGTTGGGTAAAGTTCATGTCCTGTCCTTTTCCGTCTTGTCCCATTTCTGTTTCAGAATTTTCATACGAAATTTTATACCTTAATTCCCATTAAGAAATAGGATTATTAATTCCCTAAGTCTCATCTGCAACGTAATAAAATCTTTTTATTATGTACATATACATATATATATTCCTGCAAAGTGTCCTGGTAAACTTTAGCAATGTTGTATTGTGGTTGGCTTTGTTCTACAATGTTGCTGCGAGTGATTTTAGCACGTCGTGGTTCTTTAGATGTCTTCGTTCACACCTTATCATTTGCTTTGCTTATTGTGATTTATAACCTTTCCCTTTGATAGTTTCCATTTAATTTAGGGTAATATTACTAACTATCTAAATTTGACACATAAATTAAGAAACTAGCAGAGAGAGAAAATTATGTCGGAAAACAGCATGGACCCACCTTGTCTAAAGAGGTGAAATAACAAAACCATCCTCCGTTTGTTTTGAGATCTACAGTAGGCGACATTGTTTCGTGATATTTTTCAAAATAGCACGTAAGATCTAAATTTCACATGTTATATTTAACTAAAATACATGCTATTTAAAAAAACGTAGTGAATTTTTAAGAAAAAACATTGTTACGTAGTGTTTTTTAAAAAAAAAACATTGTTATGGAAAAATTAAACTTGAATAGAATCTTTTTATAAAGATATAACATGTGATCTTAATAAAACCCGTGAATTACTAGAAAATAAGAATCTTTTTTTAAAGAAATTACATGTGATCATAATTAAAAACGTGTATTACTACAAAATAACATGATAGCGAAAGATATTAAACTGAATAGAGTGTTTTTTCAAAGAAATAACATGTGATCTTAATAAAAACCGTGAATTACTAGAAAATAAGAATCTTTTTTAAAAGAAAATCACATGTGATCATAATAAAAAAACGTGTATTACTATAAAATAACATGATAGAGAAAGATATTAAACTGAATAGAGTGTTTTTTCAAAAAATATCATGTGCTCTTTATAAATAACGTGTAAAACCGGAAAATAATATGATAAAAAGAGATATATTATTCTATCACATGTAATTCAAGAAAAAAACATGTTATAAAGGACATGTGTGTAATTACACGTGCTTTCCGACATCCAACAGACAAAGTACTATAGCTCATGGCTATTTTCTTAATTCTTTTTGAATCCATGGCTATTTACTATAAATTCTCTTTAATTTAAGGTTCTTGCTTCCCTTTTTTAGACTAAGTTTCCGGGGATATATTGTTTTTCTGTTTGCTGTTGTAATTCAAACTCGTATCCTTCTTTGGTTATTCTAATTAAAACCGATGAAAAAAAAAAACTTTAGCTATGTAGCATTGCTTATAGAATTTTATTTTACAACAATGATTATGATATTTGATTTTTTAAAAAAATTTTTTTACTTAGGCATGTACGTGATGATAATAAAGGCGATTTTGACATTGTTTTTTTTTTGTTTTTTTTTTTTGTTTTGACATAGTTTCACAGACAAGTTTAAGTAAATCATCTTAACATAAAAAAAAATAGAGGTTCAAGTTAAATAAATCTAAGCCGACTAAAATAAATCAACTAGCTCAAGTTGAAACATTTTATCAAGTGCTGAAGTGCACCTCCTCCAAGTCTAGCTAGCATCTCAAGTTCATATATAATGGAGACACTTGGATTACCTGAGAAATTTTTTTTTTAATTTTATTTTATACTCCCTTTATTTCAAAATATTGGATGTTTGAGTTAAAAACACACACTTTAAGAAATTTATTTTTCTTTTAGAAAATATTATTTAATATTTAATTTTAAAAAGTTCAACTAATGATATTAAAGAATGCAGAATACAAATGGTCATAAGATATCAAATGTATTTAAAAGTTGCATAGAAAATTGTAAAACATCTTATATCTATATATATATTTTTGGAGTATCTTTAGTAAATAAATCATAGAGTTCCACCTTATTTACGAGTCTATGTCATTGACATTTATTATTTAGTTTTACAAAATTTAAATAAAAGATATTAACCAAACGATATCTTGCCTAATTTGTTTCTAAAAATCTGTACACAGTTTTTCCATATACTTCAAAAAAGAATTCCGTGAAGTTTACTCCACAAGATATGCATAAAAGTATAAAACCGATTTATAGAAAATATTTATATTAATATTTTGAATAAAAATAAAACTACTAATTTATAATAATCAAAATATTCACATAGAAAAATCATATAATTTATATGATAAATTTAAAATATATATTAGCAGTATAAATTTAAAATCAGTCAAAGAACAATATACCACGGGTGAGATCCTAAAAATTTTGGATTTTATAACAATAATAATATTGACGGGTTTATATGGGATAACGGGTTTAGGTCGATATTAATAAAGAATGGTATATCACGGATGAAATCCTAAAATTAACAATCAAAATACAATTATACAACCTTAAACACAAAATAAAACATACAATGAACAAAACAAATACAAATTAAAATATAAAAATTTTAGTTATAAGAAAATCGACCCACGGTATACCGCGGAATAAAATATTCAAAATTTTAAAATTGACCATACATCATTACTTAAAAAATGTATGTTTTCGTATCTATACTTCAAAAATTGAAACCTAAACAATAGTAATTATATACTAAATAATACATAGATAGATTTCTACATTTACAAATACAAACTAATATGATATATCTTCAGCAGTTAATCTTTTAAAAAATAATATTATATTTTTTAGAAAAATATAGTCCCGCGGTGTACCGCGGGTTAAATTCTAGTTTTGAAACAAAAATAAATCTTTAAAACATTCTATTTTTTGAAACTGAGTGAGTATACGCGATGCTGTAGTCTCTAGCTATTTCTGGATAGTTTATATTAGAGATCTAATATATTTTACAAGTACATAAACATGTAACAAATTAAAGAGTCATCTTACATCGGACAGAACATGCTGGTTTAAGTTTTAACCAGTTTTATTGGCCGGTTTAGAGTTAAACTATGTTTTGTTAGTTCAGAATTGATTGGTTTGGTCGTTATAACATTTACGGAGTATATAATTGGTTTCGTTACTTTTTTTTGACGTAATTTAGTTCATTACTTTATGATTTTATCAATTTGTGGATTTTTTTCTTCTATAATTGTATATCACTAATGAATATTGTTAAATTTCTTTTTCCAGTTGAAATATTGCTAATTATATCACTCTATTATTTCCTACTGCATTGAATACGTATACTTTACCTTCAGATTCAATAAATTGAAGTTGAACAACGACTCGAAACTATTTTTTTTATTTATAACCGAAAAAAATTATAAATTGGTGAATCACTTCCGTTACGTGACTCTCTCTCTTTTAGTAAACTCTGAAAACGTTTTTTCAGGATCTCACCAAAATTCACAAACTTCGGAGAAACCACCACCGTCTCTGCCGCAGAACCACCGTCGTAAGAGAGGCAAAAACATCACAAATATGGGGAAAGGTGGATCACTAAGCGAAGGTGTGATTAAGAACATAATCATCTCCTACACATACGTAGCAATATGGATCTTCCTAAGCTTCACCGTCATCGTCTACAACAAATACATCCTCGACAAGAAGATGTACGATTGGCCATTCCCGATCTCACTCACAATGATCCACATGTCCTTTTGCTCAACCCTAGCTTTTCTTCTAATCAAGGTCTTCAAATTTGTTGAACCGGTCTCAATGTCACGTGACACTTATCTCAGATCCGTCGTCCCGATCGGCGCGTTGTATTCACTCTCTCTTTGGCTCTCTAACTCAGCCTACATTTACCTCTCTGTCTCCTTCATTCAAATGCTCAAAGCGTTAATGCCAGTCGCGGTTTATTCAATTGGCGTGCTCTTCAAGAAAGAGGGTTTCAAATCTGAGACAATGATTAACATGCTATCGATCTCATTTGGTGTAGCCATTGCTGCTTATGGTGAAGCTAGATTCGATGTTTGGGGTGTGATTCTCCAGCTTGGTGCGGTTGCTTTCGAGGCGACACGGTTGGTAATGATTCAGATCTTGCTTACTTCTAAAGGAATCACGTTGAATCCAATCACTTCTCTTTATTACGTTGCTCCTTGTTGCTTAGCTTTCTTGTTTATCCCTTGGATTGTCGTGGAGTTTCCGATCTTGAGAGATACCTCTAGCTTCCATTTCGATTACCTCATTTTCGGGACGAATTCTTTTTGTGCGTTTGCTTTGAATCTAGCTGTGTTTCTTTTGGTTGGGAAAACCTCTGCTTTGACCATGAATGTTGCTGGTGTGGTTAAGGACTGGCTCTTGATCGCCTTTTCGTGGTCGGTCATTAAGGACACTGTGACTCCTATTAATCTTTTTGGTTATGGGATTGCTTTCTTGGGTGTTGCGTACTATAATCACGCGAAGTTACAAGCATTGAAGGCTAAAGATGCTCAGAAGACTGCTCAGCAAGTTGATGAAGAGACTGGTCGGCTTTTGGAAGAAAGGGAAGGAAATGAAGGTGGGAGAAAGAACGAGCCAGATGATTAAAAGGTGAAGATTTGGATTTTGGTAAAACTTCAGATTTTTGTTTTTGTTTTTTTTTGCTTAACATACATTTGTTGGAATAAGAGTTTGAAGGTTATAGTAGATGCCAACATTTTTTTTATTATGATAATGAGACCTAAGAATGGCATTTGGTCTAACGGGTCTTGTTTTGTTCTTCCTATGTCACTACAATTTGCCTTAGTGATATGAGAGTATCCTAGATAGTGATTCTGTTGTTATTTACCAATATTTTTCAATGAAGTTTGAGGTTTACGAGTTACTTCCATCTAGTTTTGGCTACCAATGGACTAT